CCCAATACCTAAAACAGTGCCCAGCATGTTGTAGGTGCTCCATATTGGTTGTACAAATAGTTGTGCAAAGTTAGGGTGTCATGTTTTGGAAATATTAACCCAAATATAGTTAAATGAGATGCCAAAGTGCCCATCCTGACACTCAGGATGAGAAAATTTGGAGCACATACAGTAGGTGTTAAACACATATTTGGTAAATGAATGAATGATGCTAAAAAGCACTTACTATATTGTACTCCATCCAAGACCCTGACCTTCTTCCTCCTCTCTGTCCACTTAGTTAGGGCTTGTTGGGTCAGGCTCAAGGAGGGTTAGGACCTACAAGAATTTCCTTTCTGATAGTGCAAGAATCTTCTCTGTAGCCTCTGTTCCTGAGACATCTCTGCTGCCCAACTCTATGTAGCATGCTGGGGGCTATCTGGGAACACTTAGAAAGGGGTTCTGGGACACTGACATTCTGGAGAAAGGGCTCCACCCATCTGGCCCTTTTTAATTACTATAATCCAACCTCTACTGACAATAGATGTAGTGAATACATAATAGTGTTATGGCTAATGGGGCCTGTATGGCTTAATTAGCTGCTCTGATTACTCCTGGGGATTCTTAGATGGCTCCAAGATTCTAGGAAATGGAATCTGAGAGAAAGTGACAGGGAGAGAGAAAACAAGGGATAGCAGGACATGATACTTCTCTCTTGTCTCTGTTTTCAGAATGATCCTTCCTATCCCCCAGGTCTTAACTGTAATATACAGTAAAGGTTAAGAGAATGAACTCTTGAATTAGGTGGCATGGATTAGAATGCTAGCTCTTGGATGAGTTATTTCATCTGCCTGAACCTGTTTTCTTATCGGTAAAATGGGTACTCAGAGAAATCAGTCACAATGTGGGGATTAAATAAAATAATACATGCAACATGCTTAGCAACTGCTTGGCACAGAAGAACTCTATAAATGTTAGTTGTTGTTATTATTATCATTATACAGGGGTGGCACCTAGAGAAAACACATCTGGAGATTAGGAAAAATGATGTCTTTGACCCAGGAATAAATTGTAGGGACTCTCAGCATTAGTGAAGCCCCACTGTACACCTTACACCCCCCCCCCCCCGTCATATCTCAGGCACAGACATGTAGTATCAGGATCCTGCACTTTGCCTGTGGGTGAGGAGGTGGCTAGAAACTAGATTATCAGGGTCCAAGGACACCCCAGGGCTGAGACCTTGGACATAGAGCTCCTGGGATTTTTTCAGTTGTCCTCCTTACTTCTCTCCTCGAAAGTTTAGCTGCCCCTGTTGTTGAAATGCAGCTAACTGCAAGATCCTGGGACCTTTAAGACCTGGAACAAGTCCAGTTTTGTCCTCCCTGCTCCATCCCAACCCTGAGGCTATAACCTGGGCTAGTCCAGGCGACTGCCAGGGCTGGGAGGGTGGGGTCTGCTGCCTGCCAGCCAGCTATTTGTGACTCACCCTTCCCTTCCCTCCTCTGGTTTCCCTGCCAGCCCCTTCCAACTTGGGGTGAGAAAGTTAGAAGTTGACTTGGAGACAGAGAATCCTAGAGCTGGAACGCACCTACTCTCATATTTTGCAGAGGAAGAAACTGAGGCCCATAGAGAGTGCGACTCTCTTAGGGTCTTGCCCAGACTATACATCCTGTCCTTAATCCATTCCATTAAATCTTAGTGTCTCTGGTTTTCTAGATCTTATTTTAAACATCAAATACTAAAATTGCTGGTAACCAAGAGATAAATATGATTTCCAAAGCCAGTGCTGAAATTTAGTTTCCTTTTTCACTTCGACATTCATTGCTTGCATTCCAAGTCCCCTAAGTTTACCGTTAGTCAAGAATCAGCTATGCCCCCAGAACATTCAGGCTGGCCCAGTGAGGAACCCCAAGGGGCAGGCACTCCTCCTTGGGCCTGGGTCTGATTACCTGGACTCCTGAATCCCTTAACCACACCAGGGCTTGCATCCTCCTCTTTTTTTCTGGGACCCAGGGAGGGCCTAGTCTTCCCTGTCCATCCCTGCTACTAGTCAGTGGCCCCTGAGAGGGAATCATTTGGCTGGAAGCCTCAAAATTCGTTAAACCTCCACAAACCTCACAGATGGTAGTGATGTTGATTAAGGGGGTGGTGTTTGTGGTGTCATTCGTAGTACAGGAGGAAGTTCCCATGTTGGCACAGTTGGGCATGTGGGCTCCCTCATTCGTTGTGAGGCTGAGGAGATGCCCGGTAATATTTGCATTTCTTCTTCAGTAAAGCTCATTTCCCCCATTTAAAGGTGAAAAGCGGATTCAGACCCAGGCAGTTTCAGAAACTTTCCGGTGACAAGTGTGGAAAGGGTAGGGGTGGGAAGTTGGGGACCAGGAGGCCAAACAAGAACCCTTCTCCACCCCTGCGGCGCTGTGGAGGTTCCAAAACGGTCTTTCCTCAGACTCGGGTCACTGGGAGCCTACCTTCACCATCCCTCCGGGAGAGCGGGAGGGATGGAGGGGAAGGTTTGGGGGGAACGCCGCCTACCAGGTTCTGGCCCAGCCCTCCCGCTGCCCCCGCGTCCTGGCGCAAACCCTGCTAGCTACCCGCTCCAGCTGTCACGCTTTCTCCTTCTCCGCCCAGCAGCCCTACCCAAGCCCGCGGGGAGTCCCCTCCTGAGACCCCCCCACACACCCCTCCTGCTCGGGTGGGTAGGGCGAGCGGTGGAGGGGGGCTCGCGGGGTCTCTACCTTGCCTGCGGAGGGCGCGCGATCCGAGCTGAAGCACGACGCGGGAGCTGAAGCCCGAGCTGGGCTGGAGGGGACGGGCCAGGCAGACGCGGCCGCCGCGGGGCCGCCCCGCTCCTGACGACACAGCTGCCCGCCCCCCACCCCGGCCCGCCCGCGCCAGGCACCCCCAACTCTGAGAACTGCCAGTCTGGAGAGGCTTCTGTTTCTGTTTCACCAAACCTTATTCCCCACCCCCTCCCACGAATAGTTCAGGGGTCTGGTCTGTGCCACATTCTCCACATCTTGAGCTTCTATCTTCTTCCCGCCCCAGGACCAACTCTGTTTCTAAATATCTTCCCTTCATTCCAATCACAAACAGCCTCTCCCTTAATGTCAACCCGGGAGTCCAAGATAGGCGGACCGCTGATGGGGCAGCTTCGCCACTGCCCACCCAGCCAAGGTCTCACCCTCTCCTAATTGCTGCCATCTGGGGACTTCCCTTTCCATCCACCACTGACTAAATTCATAATCAGGAGATCCCAAAGGGGCAAGACCCGAGTTCCAGAGTCCACATCCTGAGACCAGAACACCTCGCCCCCAACACACACACCCATGAGCTCGCTCCACACTGCTTGACACTATTCGTGAGAATCTGCCCACCTTTACCTTCCAGGTTCTTCACCTCCGAAACCGTCTCAGACTTGTTTTCCCAAGTCTTAGGACATTTCTTTCCCTCAAGACTCAGATCTTTCCCTTAATTCCTGCGGTGGAGCTTTAGGTACAAAGAACACCCATTTTTTTAATGCCCTAACCCTCCCATTTTACCTGCTGGCCTTGGCAGGTGGTGTAGAAGGCACAGGTCAAAAGTAGAGGTGAAGGAAGATCCTTTCAGCTTCTCCTGTCTGGAATCTGTTCTGGAGTTAAGACTCTGGTGGCAGCATGGATGGTGGCGAAGCTGGTAGAGCAAGGGAGAAAGACAGAGGCCTAGGGACTTACTGGTAGGAACAGGGGACTGAGGCATCCTGCTCCCTGGCCCCGCCCCAACCCCGGTCTAACCCCCTCCTACCCTTCATTGAAGTAGGGCACAGTAACAAAAGCTTGAGTTCCTGGAATCTTCCCTTTTACACCTGGTGGTGGAAGAAAGGGGGAGGGGAGAGCTCTGACTGGAAGGGTATATGTGTGTGTGCTATATACATTGTGTGTATGCACACACAGAAATACACACACACACTTTTGGAGGAGAAGGAATGAATTCATGAGGACCTCTAGTGGAAACAGGGATCTAAGCAGTTCTTGATTGTTTCAAGACAGGCTTGTTAGAAGAGACTCCTCCATTTTTATCAGAAATACAGGTGCTGAGTAATTAGGCTTTGGGGGTATTGTTGTTGCATCTGAACTGGAGATCTGAGGCATGGGTTGGAGAAAGTCTGTCTCTCTGCTCCTGTGTCCCCTCCAATCAAAGACAAGGGCACTGCCACTCCCCATCCTTCATCTCCCCTTCCGATATGACCTCCTCAGTATAAGGAATCCTAAGTACTTTTGAAGGTCTATTTTGCACCAGGCCCTGTACTTAGTTCTGCAGTACAGCCAAAGACATAGTCTCGTTTAGGGGCTGCATCGAAGAGTGGCTTGGGGTGTGTGTGTGTGTGTGTGTGTTGTGTGTGTGTTTGAGTGTAGTGTCTCCCCTCTCTAAGCCATCCTAAACAAACATACAATATAAGTTAAGAACAATTCCCCTACCCCCTCTTGCAATCTGAATCTCTCAACTGGAAATCCTGGAATGATACTAATCCTTAAGGCACTAAGCTTTCCTTGCAAATAACCCACCCTATATGTATGACCTGTGTTTTTCTTTCCATCATCCTCAGATATGTCCCAACATGAAGTTAAAGAGGATCCTTTTAAGACTTTTTTGAGACTCCAAAGTGGGGCATGAGGTGATCTCTCTAATGAGGAATAAGACAGAATCTGTCATATTCTTTGCGTCTTCTTTAGGATCTGTGCTCTCCATCATACACCAAGTGAGCTGTTGTTGGGGGTGGGGAGAAGAAAGGACAAGAAATATCTCAGGAGGAGGCGTCTAATACCTACAGTTCCAGGTGCTCATTTCTTTAATCAACCACATCATAAAAATCAGAAAAAAAAGAAACCACAACGAACAAAGGGAAAGGAAAAAACAACAGCCTTGTTCTCCCCAGCCTCTTCTTTCCCCTCTTCCTCCTCAGGTGGGGGGCACATCCGGGCCCAGGGCTGGGTCCCAGGCTGATCTGCTAGGCAGGCAATTGAGTTTCACTTCCTGTCAACCCCAGAGCTGAGGCAGGATGTCTGGGGGCACGGTGGAGGGCCTAGGGTTGGGTAGTCAACAAGGGCCGTTAGGATTCCCTCTTGCAGAAAGGTCCAGAGAGCGGCCCACTAGTCCTAGTGCTCCTCAGGTAGAACAGTTAAGATCAATGTATCCCTCTAGTTTTTAAGGATTTCATCCCACACTCTCACCTCTCCCACACTCTCACCTCTAATGATTAGTAACCAGGCTAAGGACAAGATGCTAGCTAGACCTGGCAAGGATGAAGCACAATTGGTGAGAACAGGGGTTAGGGATGGCAGTGTTAGAACACTTACAATAACTGTGTATTGAATGCAATCAATTTTTATAGTCTTTTGAAACCTTTTGAGTTGGGTCTCTGGTGGAAGTCAGAGAAGAGAAGTATAGGAAGGCAAGCTGTGACCCCAGAAAACTTCTGAAGCTTCATTTTAAAGCTTTAGGAAGTCCCTAGTCTGCCACTGCTTTGTTTTTTGTTTCTTTAAGTGGGGCACGCAGCCTCCTGTCGCTAATATTAACCTGCATCCTCCTCGCTGGTTTCAGAGGTACTGTTGGGAATTAACTTAAGCCAATGTAGGGGATTTGGGAAGGTAAACGGGTAGATAAGAAAAAAGCAACATGGGGGTGGGGAAGGGCAGAGGTGACACCTGAGGAGAGGAACCTGTAGCTGGCCCCTCCCAGGCTGCAGGGGAAACGAGTTTGGCAGGATTTAGCCCCGAAGGAACAAGAGCTGCTAAGAACTGGGCAGGGAGGACATTTGGGTTCGTCTAAAGAATAAGGTGGCACAGGGCAGGGCAGGACTGTAAAGAGAGTGACAGTATGGGCCCGGATTACTGGCGAGTTGCCCTGCTTTCGATCCCCATCACCCAGAGACTTGGACGAGGTTAATTAGAATACTAACTGGGTCCGCCCAGAAGCCTTCACGCTGCCCTCTGACCCTGGGGCCCAGCCCGAGGAGGCTCCTGGGGCCGAAGGCCAGAGCAAACTTAAGCAGTCGTCACTTCGCCGCCTGAATCCCCGGGGCCGCCCCTGGGGCAGGACCAGGCCCCGGCTGCCTGCCCAAACCGGCCCACCGTCTCCACAGCATGGAAGCCGCCGGCAACACTGAGGCTGCGGGGACAGGTGACAGACCGGCAGCGCCCTCCGCCTTCTCTCGCGGTTCTCAGTCCGGAGGGTTGAGCTGGGCGGCCGAGGGCAATCCGCACGCGTTTTCGACCTGCCCACCTTCTGAGAGGGGTAGTAAGGGTCTTCTGTTAGCCCCCAAAACACTAGTGCGCCCCAGTGCGTTGCCGGAGTTTGCCCGCGCTGCTCCATGTCCCCAAGGCGTTCTGTAACCTGGGTGCAGGCCAGTGCCTGAATAGTTTTACTTTCTCATTTATCCGCCCCCCTTTCCGGGTGTAGGTGGGCCTTGCCCCCTTTTCCCTCGCAGGTCCTGGTCGGACGAAGAGTGTATGTGAGGCGAGGGGCTGTGCCTCGGAACTTCTCTCGGAGCCCAGAGGACTGCTTTACATGCAGCAGACGCTCAATAATGGTATCAATGGCAGTAAAAGAGCCCAAGGCTTTTATTTTACTAAAGTCTTCAGCTTCTACTCCCCTCTTCCTTCTTCTTCACCTCCGGCCATGAAATGGTGTACTCTCCCTTTAAGACTAAAATGGTGGCTTGCTACGATCAGGACTCCACTTCCGGTGGGGAGGGGGCGGGACCCCAGCCCGCTCACGCCGGAAGTGGTTTGCGTTTTCAAGATGGCGACTCCCTATGTAACTGACGAGACCGGCGGTGAGTGCGGGAGGCGCGGAGCCGCTTCTGTCCGGGCTCTCGGGGCAGGGGTTCGGACTTGGAAAGGGGTCTGTGCCCCTCCCATCCCGGGGCCCCTCCTTTGCCCCGCCCTCCGAACCGCCTTCCCCATTCATTCTCTCCTAAGGGATGTCACCTGCGCCCCCTTCTGGTCTCGAGTTTAGGGGGTCTCTGCTTCCGGTCACCCAAACCCTGGGGTCCTTCAATGCTGGTCCCTGCTCCAGGACCCTTTCGGGCTCTTAGCTTTTCTCCAGCAGTTGAAGCTTCAGTATTTCTTTTGGATTCTCCAGTCTTGGGGGCTCATACACCCTCAGTTCCCTCCAATTCCTGTCCTTCCCCTCCCCCATCTCTTAGTTGTACCTGCTTTCTGCCCTACCACAGCAACGTTTTAATCCTTTTTCTCGAAGCTATATCTATAGAAGGTCTCATTGCTATATAGTAGATTTTCCACTTTCTCCCTCGTCTTTATTGTTGGGTCACTGAGATACAGAGGTGTGAAGGGAAGAAGAACCTAATTTAACTTTCAGCTGAGTTCTCTGCTTGATGGCCCCACCCTTCTCTACTTTCTCTGGTGATGGTGATAGAAGTTGAGGGACCTAAGGTGCAAGAAGGCAAACCAGCAAGGTATCTTGTGGCGGCAAGCCCTCTGACAAGTTGATAGAACCCATTGTTTCTTCTCACTAGTGAAGAATTTCCAGCCTGGCTGATTGAGATGCTGAAGTGTCTGCTGTGTATGTGAGGTTTATGTGTTGAAAACTGAAAAAGCAAGATTTTCATTGTGGTTTTGTCCTATCCGAATTTCCTCTTCTTTAGAAAAATGTGCATAGTGATATCTACTAATTGACGATCAAATAAGGTAGTATATGTGAAAGCAATTTATAAAATGCTGTGCAAGGCAAGATGTTACTTTTTTTTTGGTAGCCCTCGTGTATCTATAGCCTTCTGTGGAAGTGACACTATGTCTGTTTTAAAATGTGCCATTTATGCTTCTTGCTTTGCGGCGTTTCATGTTCCTTAACATCCCAAGCCACTTCTCTATGGTTCTAAAGACAACCCAGCTCTCTGCTTCTTTTCTCCAACCTCACACTTCAAAGTGGTACAACCTCTCCTGCTACTTCTTCAACTAGCTCCTTTTAATGTGTGCTTTGAAAATATTACTTAGTTTCTAGTACACTTCTCTTTATTCTTAACTGTTTCTTTAAACTGGACTTAATGAAAATCCAGGTGACATCTCACCCTACCCTCCAGCCAAGGGATGTCTTCTGTGACCATGTAAAAGAGGAGAAGGTATCCCACTGCTTTTTTTGCTTCCCCTTTGCCTGTCACTCTAATACTCATGGATGGTACTGCCATGCAATTATAACATTTTCTCTAGACCCCAGGGCCATCTACTGCCCACAAGGACCTAGACCTATCGCATCATATTTTTTTCTCCACTCTGTTTCTGGCTCTCATTTTCAGTATCTCCAGCACAGCACCTTTGGAATACTCTGATCTTATAGTTCTTCAGCATGAGACTGAGACTGTTGACTTTTCCTTCATATTTTCAAACCAGCCACACATCGGAATCACTACAACTTGGACCTCACCTATGACATTGCTTCTCGTTCATGTGCTTCCCATCACTTATTTTAGCCTCCTTACCAGTCAGCCTTTTCACTACCTCACATCCACAGAATCAGCATTTTGCCCTCCTTAAGGTTCTCTGGTTCTTAACCTTTCCCATTTCATTGAGTCTACCAGTACCTTCATGACTACCTTTGATGTTGCCCTGGTAGACCTCTGTGACCAGCCACTTTGATACTATCCTCATTGCTTTCTTCATTTGTTTTTATCTTCTATACTAAGCAAGCACTTTTGTCATCTTGAATCATACCCATCAACTGTTTTCTTGGCTTCTGCTTCTAGGCCACAGCATATGGCTGGAGAATAAGCACAGAAGCTAGCAGGTTCTGTATAACTTAATGTTATCTTCTACCAAGATCACAGCTTCTCTCCCAATTCTTTTTTCTTGGTTTGCTTACATTCTGCCATGGCTATTTCCCCAACCTTTCCTCTAGGTCTCTGTGACCCTTTTAATTCTCCCTTTTGTGGCAGATGACCTTACTTTCTATTTAATTGAAAAATCAAGGCCCCTCATTCCTGTTACTCTCCTGTCCACAGCTTAAGTTCTTGAATATCAGGACTATGCATACTACTTCCATTTCCTCACTGCTTATTTGCTCCTTAACTCTTCACAATTTTTATTCCTGGCACCAGCCTCTCTCCTGTGTGTGGTGATTAGATTTCATTCTTGGATATACAGTCGTACCTCAAATACAATCTGACCAATCTGACCAAAATCAATATCAATTTTTCCTTCCTTGTTTCTGTTAAAGACACCAATTGTTCTAACTGATCCAAGACCAACTTTTTTGCATCATTTCTCTCCCTCTTTCTCTTCTTAAAATTTTAAATAGACTTTATTTTTTAGAACATTTTTAGATTTATAGAAAATTTGAGAAGATGGTAAAATTTCCATATACCTTATACTCAGTTTCCCCTATTATTAACCACTTCCATTAGTACAGTATTGTTACTACAATTAATGAACCAATGTTGATACATTATTATTAACTAAAATCTATACATTATTCAGATTTCCTTAGTTTTTACCTAATTTTTTTTTCTGTTCCAGGATCCCATCCAGGACACCACATTACATTTAGTTCTCATGTCTCCTTAAGCTCCTATTGGCTGTGACAGTTTCTCAGACTTTCCTTGTTTTTGATGACCTTGACAGTTTTGAGGAGTACTGGTCAGGTATTTTGTAGGATGCCCCCATTGGAATTTGTCTGATGTTTTTCTCATGATTAGACTGGGGTTATGTGTTTTGGGGGGATCAACCATAGAGGTAATGTGGCATTGTCATCATGTCATGTCAAAGGGTAAATAGTATCACAATGATTTTTTACTGTTGATACTGACTATGATCACCTGGGTGAGGTAGTGTTTATAAGGTTTCTCTACTGTAAGTTACTCTTTTTCCCCCCTTCATACTGTACTCTTCAGAAGAAAGTCACTATTCATAGCCCTTTTGTTGCTGTCCTTTTGTTCTTCAGTCTAGTTGTGGAGGATGTTGCTTCACTTGCCCATGTTGGTATTGTGATAATTGTGCTTTTCCCGGGTGAGGCAGATCAGTCGCCGGCCATTGGATGGCCGCTCGTGACGGCTCACAGCAGCTCACGCCGGCTACTCACAGTAGCTCATGGCAGCCCACTGCTGCAGGGGCTGCAGCCTACGCCGTCACTGGCGATTCATGGCAGCCCAGCTCCAGGTTGAGCTGTTGTTCACCATCTTAGCTGTAGAGGGTACAGCGTCATTGGCCTGCTTATGGGATCCGAACCGGGGCCCTGCTGCTCAGAGCTGCCATCCCAAGCCAACTCTTTTTTTTTTTTTTCCAAAGATTTTTATTGGGGAATTGGGGGGATGGGGACAGACAAGCCGCTGTCCTCCCATTCCTCAGTCCAGTTGTGGAGCTGGCGCCGTCATTGCGCTCCTCCCAGGCGAAGCAGATCAGTCGCTGGCCTCCGGACGGCCGCTCACTGCGGCTGCTGGCCGCTCACGCTGGCTGCTGGCTACACACGGCAGCCCATGGCAACCCACTGCCACAGGGGTCGCAGCCTACGCCGTCGCCAGCGACCCACGGCAGCCCAGCTCCAGGCCGAGCTGTTGTTCAGCATCTTAGCTGTAGAGGGTAGTGTCACTGGCCCTCATATGTGGGATCCAAACCGGGGCCCTCTGGCATCCCAAGCCAGCCCCCAACCATCACACCACTCGGCCGGCCCCCAAGCCAACTCTTAATCAACGCGCCACTTGGCCGGACCCCATATTTTTTTCCTTTTTAAAAAAATTAAAAACATTTTTTCAATTACAATTGACATTAAATATATTTGTTTCAGGTGTACAGCATAGTGGTTAGACATTTACATAACTTACGAAGTGATCCCTGTTAAATCTTGCACCCACCTGATACTATACACATATATAGTTATTACAATATTATTGACTACATTCCTTAAGCTGTGCTTTACATCCCAGTGACTCTTTTGTAACTGCCAATTTGTACTTCTTAATCCCTTTACCTTTTTTACTCTGCCCTGCAAGCCCCCTTCTATGTGGCAACCATCAGTTTGTTCTCCATTTCTATGAGTTTGTTTCTGTTTTGTTTGTTCGTTTATTTTATTCTTTAGATTCCACATTTAAGTGAAATCATTTGGTATTTGTCTTTCTCTGTTAGACTTATTTCACTTAGCATAATATCCTCTAGGTCCATCTATGTTGTCACAAATGGCAAGATTTCATTCCCCCCCCCATTCTTTTTTATTGCTGACTAATATTCCTTTGTATACATGTACCAAATATTCTTTATCCATTTGTCTTTTGATTGGAGCATTTAATGCATTTACATTGAAATTATTGATAGGTATGTAGTTATTGCTATTTTATTGGTTTTTTTTTTTAAGATTTGTATTGGGGAATTGGGGGAGGGGAACAGACAAATTGCTGTCCTTTTGTTCTTCAGTCTAGTTGTGGAGGACATCGCTTCACTGGCCTATGTTGGTATTGTGATCATGGCACTCTTCCCATCTGAGGTAGATTGGTCACCGACCATTGGACGGCTGCTCACGGTGGCTACCAACCGCTCACACTGGCTGCCGGCCACTCAGGGTAGCTTACGGCAGCCCACTGCAGCA